TTTTTTTAATTTTTAAAAATTGATTTTAAAGAGAGGAAGAGAGAGAGAAACATCAGTCAATTGCTTCTTGCACACACCCCAACTGGGGATCGAACCTAACACCTTCTGGTGTACAGGGCGATGCTCCAACCAACTGAGCCACACCAGCCAGGGCTCATTTGCCGTATCTTGGGTCCAATCATGAGTAGGTGTAGCAGGCCAACTCTAGAAAAATTTAGAGCCAAAACAATACTGGCTTATTGGTGAATGCATTTCAATTACATTCATTCATTTATTTGTTTGATTATATTTAGACAATCTTGATCAAAGTGGCAGCAGTTATATGAAATTAGTTATCTGTAAATAATTGTTTCTGTAAAGGCTTCCACAGTGGCTGGGAAAATATAATGAAAATGTGTATATATATACAAATGAAAGGATTAACTCCCCTGGTTTATAATCTTAGATTTGAATCAGCAGCAAAATTTAAAAAATTTTTAAGATTAATTTTGTGCAGTGGCAGTATCGTAGCCAATGAGGTTTATCTGAAGTGCGACTATTGCTAATTGAAAATTTTCCCCAATACCCCACCATGACGACTTAAAATATAGTTAGCATTGGCAATTTTTGAAATAAAAAAATTAACTAATTAATTTTTAAAAAGTAAGATTAGCGTACAATTCTATAATATATAATCTGTATATTGTACTGTGTGTTCACCAGTCCAAATCAAGTCACTTTTTCTGTACCGCAGGCCGACGTTCTAACCGCTGAGCCAAACCGGCCAGGGCTCAAGTCACTTTTTAAATCTTTTTTTTTTTAAAGATCTAGAGGAACTTGGCTTGAGACATATGCATATATAAGTAGGAAGTCCTATTGGGTTTTTTATTTGTTTGTTTTTTTGTTTTTTATCCTCACCCGAGGACATTTTTGCATCTATCTTCAGACAGAGCGGGAGGGAGAGAGGAAGGAAGAGAGAGAAACATTGATGTGAGAGATCAACTGGTTGCCACCCACACAACCCCAAATGAGGTCAGGGACAAACTGCAACCGAGGTACATGCCCTTAGCGGGAACCGAACCTGGGACTCTCTGGTCCGCCGGCCGACGCTCTAACTGTTGAGCAAAACTGGCCAGGGCCACCTTTTAAATCTTAATAAATGGAATTGATACACAAATGGCTGGCTTTATAGTTAACTCCAAAGCAGTAAATTCCTTAAAAGCTAGAAGAATAGCATTTGCTATTGTGTATCTGCAGGTGGTTGGGCTTTTTAAAAATATATATTTTATTGGTATTTTAGATACAGAGGAAGGGAGAGGGGGAGAGAGATAAAACAGCACACCCCATAATGGAGATCAAGCCTGCAGCCTGGGCATGTGCCCTGACCAGGAATTGAACCGGCATCCTCTTGGTGAATGGGATGATGCTCAATCCACTGAGCCACACCAGCCAGGCCAGCTGGTTGGCTTTTGAACTTCATTTGTACAATGGCTTTTTCTATAGTTTCTATACAAATGTTGGATTACTAGTTACACATGGCTGAATAATATTGCTAATTCTTCCAGTTGTTTTTTTTTCTTTATAGTTAGTAAATGCAAGAGAGGAAAGCAGGAATTGGATTCTTAGATGACTTAGATATCTTGAGGTAAATAATTGTTTCCAAAAAAGTAGGCTTTTTATTTAGGGAAAACAAAGACGAATAAATGGTAGTTTCAAGAGTAGAGAGTTGACACTTGTAAGTGGCATTGCCTGAAGGCTTTGTAGCTTGAGAATCAATCTGGGGTAGAGTTAAGTGTTGGGTTTTAAATTCTGTTTTAATAATTGTAATTATTATTGCTCTTTCAAGGGGTTGTATTAACTCAGTTGTAAAATGTTTCACATTTATGAATTCATTTAAAACATATTTTAAAATGTTTTGGTATATGACAAGATATCCAGCTGCGACTATAAATTTTATTGGTAAATCTCGTGTGACCTGTCTTTCTGGAGAAGTTAGCATAAAACATACAAGTTCAGCCTGCTATACGGGAAACGAGTATTTGTTTTTGAGAAATCGCAAACTGTTTTTATGAGAATATTAACTCTCACAGGGAAACAACTCTACCACCACTGCCCCAGGGGAGAAGATGTACAGGGGACACCTGCGTCCTGCTGTTTGCAGGAGAAAGGGCTGCTGAGCACGTAGGGTAACTGACAGCCTTGGACTGAGAAGTGGAAAGAGAGAGCAGCTGCCCCATCACTGACACGAATGCAAGCAGTTCTGAAGGAGTCTCCAAAACCTGAGAAAAGAAAATCTTGATGACTTGATTTAGAACCTTGAATGGGAAGCATGTGCTTGGCATATAATAGGCACTCAGTAAATATGTGTTGAAAGAATAGATGAGCGAATGAATGAATGAATACATTTTTTTTTTAAATCCTCCCGGGGACATTTTTTTTGCATTTATCTTCAGATAGAGCAGGAGGGAGAGTGGGAGGAAGAGAGAGAGAGAGAGAGACATCGATGTGAGAGAGAGACATCGAATGGTTGCCACTCATATGACCCCAACAGGGGTGGGGACGAACCACAACCAAGGTATGTGCCTTAGTAGGAACCGAACCCAGGACTCTCTGGTCCACAGGTCAACATTCTAATCGTTGAGCCAAACCGGCCAGGGCTGAATGAACACATTTTGTAATGTTCTGAAGCGCTAATAGAAAATCCAAAAAGGTTGGGACATCTCATTGCTGGGGATAGTAAATAACATAACCAGTCTTCTTAACAAAAACAATTCAACAAAGAGTAACTTCCATGTACAGTACGTTGGAAAAGATTCTTTGGTCAGGTCAGAAACCAAAGATAGTTGAGTGTGCGTGTGTGAATCTACAAAGAAGACTGCTATTCTTAACACCTTATCATGGAGCTGTTTTATGCAGAAAAGGGAGTACTAGAATGTGCATATTTAAAAAAAATAAGACTTTGCTTTAAAAAATTAGAACACAAGCATTTTCATAGCCTGAAAAATAAATGTGAGTCAAGTAGTTGCTACTCTAAGCAAACACTGGTGTTGTCTTCCTCAGATGTGAGTTGTATACTGTTGGCTTGAAATCTTTGACCTTGCAATCTGTAAAGGCTAGGAGATGTGAAAAGCTTTGTTAAGAATTTCCCAAGAACGGAATAAATGTAATCTCAGAGAATGGGAAATTTGATAGTATTTGTACCACTTACTGATACATTTTCAGATGTGCTGAGTTAATCATTCTCAAATAGGCTTTAACAGTGTATTTAGCTCTTAATATCCTAGCTGAGGTCTAAATGCAGCTTTTCACTAACAACCCTGAGAAGAGAGAACCCAATGGAAGCTTCCTAGAGAAGGAGAGTCAAATGTTGTGTAGTGGCTCAGTGTGGGACAATGCCATCTGCCAGTTGTGAAACCTTGAGCACCTGATTTAATTTCTCTGAGCCTACTTTCTCCCACTCCACTGATAAAATTAGAATAATAGGACCTATTTTACAGGGTGGTTGTTTTAAGCATTAAATGTGATCATATACACAAAGTGCTTTGTATAGTGCCTGGTACAGAATAAATAATGTTTCCTAAATAGTCAAAATTTAGGTTGAAATGAGTGAGATGCTTAAAAATGCTGAAAACCAACCATCTGGCAAACATACTGCTTCTTAAGGGGTAACATTCCAGAGAAAGTGGTCCTTATGGACTCCTTCAAATAAAAATGGTAGATTCAGAAAAATTTAATCTGGATAACTAACACACGATTAATTAGGCACGAACTATTCTAATACTAAACTGCTTACATCAACTCTGCTGAACTGTATTAAATCTAGATATGGGATATTTATCTGGCACTTAATGTCAATATTCCAACTATTTGCGACAACTAAGGCACTTCATTTGTCAGTGGAAACGGAGACAATTCTTCTAGCAGCCCCACCATCTTCATGCTTATGTCAAATAATCCGGCAAAAATTTTAAGGCAGTTCAAATATTTATTGACTGCCTGCTCTATTCGTACAACAAACACTATATGCAAAAGTATGAAGGGAGAGAAAGCAAGCCACTGAGGCTGCTATAATTTAGAGCCTTTATCTGTGGCGAATACCGATGGAGGTGAACAGATCTATCCCATCATGTTCCAGCATGGCGCAGGCAGAGGAGCCTGGACCTCCAGCCTCAGGCTCTCATTTCCAGTCACCAGTCTCATTTCCCCAAATTCCCCAGGGAAGGAGGGCGGCCAGTGCTGCTGATGACATCGCCTGACATCACTGTTCCGGATCGCAGGAGAGCGTGCGGCCTCCTGGCCCACCTCATCCGTGGCCTGACTGCATTCACCTCTCGGCTCCCCGCTCCGACCACGTGAGATGTCCTAATATGGTCCGACTACGGCGGAGCCAAGGAGCGCTTGCCTTTCCCCTGATCCTGGGGGGAGGCAGGAACAGCCTTTAGAGTCGCACACGGTCTGAAGGGAAGCAAATGGGGCGTTGGGTTCGGTTCTGGGCGAGTTGAAAGTCAGCGGCACAGAAGCTCCTGCCTGGGTATCTATCATTTAACAATCCCCGGCGAATCCAATCTCCCCAGAGGCTTTCAGCTGTCCCCCCTTTCTCACTCTGCGCTCCCCGTCGGCAATCCCGGGTCGTCCCCTAGCTCTGGTCCCCGTTTCTAAAGGGGAGGCGCCCTGTGGCTGCTCGCGGGGACCTCGGCTGGCGACCCTCGCTGCGCCCTGGGTCCTAGCAGCCAGGGGGAGATGCTGCTGCAAGGCGTGTCTGGGCTGTGCTCATGTGATGAAGCGAGGGAAAAACAAGGGGGAGGAGGAGGCGAAGAGGTGGCTCATTTTTTTTTTTTTTTCTTTTAAGGAGTTTGCCGCGAGCGCGTCTCCTTCATTCGCAGTCCGGGCGCGTTCGGAGGAGGAGCGGGAGGAAGGCGCTGTTGGGACCGCGCGGCGCTCGGCTCCTCGCTCTGCCCGCGTGCCTGCGATTGGGGAGCGCGTAACCCGGCGGCTGGGCGCGGGAGAACCGCAGAGAAGCCATGGGTGCGGGGAGCTCCACGGAGCAGCGGAGCCCGGAGCAGCCGGAGGCGGGGAGCGGGACGCCGGCCGAGCCTGAGCCCAGCGGCAGCAGCCCCGCGGCGGCGGCGGAGCCGGGAGCTCCGGCGGACTCGGCCATCGCGGCCGCGGACCCTGCCACCAAGGTACGCGAGCGCCGAGCCACCTGCCGCGGGAGGCGGGGATGGGGGGATCCGCCTGATTTCTGCCTGCGACAACTTCCCGACCCGTCCAGCCCAAGTGCAAACTCGGGGCGCACGAACCCCTCTTTTTAGTTTGTTTTGTTTCTGTTTTTTTGCGCCGGGGCGGGACCAGAGCCGCAGCGAGCGCGGCAGGGGGCTCGCATCTTTGTCGCGGGTCTCCAGGGCAGGCGACTGCGCCATCCGCAGTCATAAAACCCTGCCCCCGCGCGCCGCCAGCAGCCTCTCCCCACAACCTTCCGGTGGTGGCGACCCAACCCAAGACGCCTGGGCTGCGTGGGGGAGTCCGCGGAGAACTGACCCCGGGCCCAGAGTCTTGGGCCCCCCGCCCCACTTCTCCCAGATACGTAAAGTCAGCTGCTTGGCCAGGAACCGAGTTGCAGCCTGGCGAACGGGCCGCCCAGGGGTTCCCCGCCGCGTGCCTGGAGCGACCTGGGTTTGGTACCCAGTCCTGCAGCAGCGGCCGGAGCAGACAACGCCTTCCTGATGCAGAGAAAGCCTGGGGTGTAGCTCGCTTGGAGCCAAAGAAAACCTGGGCAGACGCTGCATTTCCAAACGGAATGTCAGGCTTCGCAGACAAGGCAGCGTCTTCCTTTTCGCTCCCTGCATTGCCTGTGGACTCAGTTGGATGAACACACCCTGGAGCAGTAGTTAGAAGTTCTCAAAGGATGCGGTCAGGCATAAGCAAAGCATGCCTTGTACTCTTGTCTAAGGAGGCAGTGCTGAACCGGCTAGGAAATTTGCATTTCATAGTCCTAAGTCGTCAAGGCTGAAATATATATTCTTGGCCACTACAACAAACAAGTTCGTACTTGTTCCCATCATTGGATTTTAGATTTATTTTCCAGCATATGCATTCATTAGCAAAGCTTCACCCATCCTGTTGTGTGATATCCTTATAGGAAGACCGTACTTAATGTTACAAAAACAAACAAACCCCCAAACCCACTTGTCAAATTTGAGGGTACAGCTTACATGAGGACCTTTAAGAGTTGTCTCAGGGGATATAGATGTTTAGTATATGTTTTTATAGAGGAAAAAAAAGCTGAAGTCTAGGTAAATTTCACAGAACTATGGCCTCATTGTCGCTCTTTGGCTGCCCCAGTCTAGTTTGGGTTGACACTGCTCTTAATAGCTAGATTACCTTCAGTCTTTAACTTACAACTCCTTGTAAGTTACAATTCCATGGTCCCTACAGCTGTAGATACTAACAAGTACTAACTGCCTGGTATATCTAGATGTTCTAAGAGGTGCCTAAGCCTTGGGCCTAAGGAATGTATTGTCCTTTTGAGATCTGAGTCACATTTTAATACTTACTGTACATCACTTTTTAATGCCAACTACTGTCAAATGGTTGCATAACCAGTATTTAGAGTCTAGTAATGAAAGTAATTTTAATATGTAATTGCCAAAGCTTTCAATCAGGTTCATTGTTTCCTTGGCTTTTACTACTTCTCAGGTTCTCTTACTAGCAGTTCACACTGAAATACGGTACTTACCCGTTCCCAATAAACTCAAATTTGTTCATTTAAAAATATTCCTTCCATTTTTAAGTTCTCTCCTCTTTATATCTTTCTTCCAGGATCTTATTCTTCTCCCTCTTTCCTGGTCACCACCATCTTGAAACGGCCAAACCATGTCCTTTAAAGAACGACTTAAATGACATCAGAATATCACTAAACTTTTTGGCGTTCTGCCCAGTTATCAATTTGGAGGCAATCAATACACTTATATGTATCCTTGGAAAATGTGTAGTTTTTCATTTCAATTAGCAAAATTTATTTTTCAGGTTTTGAAGACCTGAGTCTTTTCAAAAGCACTCTCTAATTAAGAATGACTCAGCACATGACTCTTGTCTCCCCTCTTCACCCCTTAAGCTCCAGTTCCTGACCTCTGAGTAATTCCATCTGCCATTCTAGGCTCTCACACTACCGTGGATCCTTCTTTCTAGCAGTTTCCATATTTGTGGGTTTAGTGACTGGACTACTAAGTGTTTTTCTAGCTATGCTGCATGTTCCACAAGGACAGGAACCATGTCTGTTGTTTGTAACAGTATTTCTAGGTGTTAGCACATAGTAGGCTCTTAGCACATAGTAGGCTCTCGAGAAGGGATGGTACTGGCTCCCTGGTTTGATTGGAGACTATCAAGTTGGGCAATACTCTGGCCCATCTAATTTTTCTACAATTTAACTTTTGACCTTCTCATCAAGATCCATCTCATGTATCAGACAGTGATTAAGTCAAGTCAGTCTGTTTGGTTATTAATAGATTTAGTAAATATTTTGGCAAAAATTCAGATTTGAGGACTGGTTTCTATTTCTCTAGAAAGTGGCATGTTAGGCAATTTTAAATTGCCTTTAATTACAAATAGACAAATATATTAACCACAAATATGCAAGTAGCTTAAATGAGACCACTTCAATGCATTGAATTAATTATGAATTACATCTTGAACTTTCTTGTTTGGGTCTGTGGACATTTGGGCAGGTTTAGATGAATACATCATTCTCTTCCCACAAGTAGAATGCTGGTGATTTACTAAAGGCTTAGTAGATTTTTTCCCCGTCTAAATGATATTTATATCATATGTAAACTGCCTACTTAGCAATCCAGCTTACTTTCCTTTTTCCTGCTAGTTTCAGTTACCAGTTACTTACTGAGTAAGTGCTCACACATCAAAAGATGTTGTGCCCTGGCCGGTTTGGCTCAGTGGTTAGAGCATCGGCCTGCGGTCCAGAGAGACTTGGGTTCGGTTCCCCCTAAGGGCACCTACCTAGGTTGTAGTTTGTCCCTGGCCCTGGTTGGGTCATGTGGGTGGCAACCAGTTGATGTGTCCCTTTCACGTCGATATTTCTCTCTCTCTCCCTCCCACTCTATCTGAACAAAAAATGAAAAAATGTCCTCGGGTGAGGATTAAAAAAGAAAAGAAAAGATGTACTAATTGTTATTAGGCCTATCAGGTCAAACTTGATTACTCAAGCCTGACATGTAGATGCACTGAGGCAGAAGTCTTGGTTTTATCTGTGGTATTTTTCAATAAATTGGGAGGAGTCTTATTTTACAGTCAATCTTTTACAGTCATAATCTGTAAGTTATGGGAGAAAATGGCTTGATCAGTTATTTTCCAGGTTTAATTTTGAGACTTGGCTATTTTGGCCGCTGCCAAACACAAGTAGTAAATAAAGCCTTGTGTTAATCCTCAATTGTCTGTTTTAAAAATTTGTCTTCAAAGAGTGTTTTAAATCAGGTGGCAATAAAAAGTGGGGTTTATTGGATCAGAATGGCAAATTTGCTTCCATGACTCTGGCAAATCTTGATTCCGGAGCGAAGCTCTAGGCTAAGTCTGTACAATCATAATCCTCTAAATTAGCCTTTCTGCATTTTCTGCTTCATCAATGACTTCAGAAGTAGAAATGGAACAGTGGTCAGCTGTAACAGTGTGAGACCAATGTCCCTGGCAGGTGGGAAGATAGGGACTGCTGTCCGTTGTTCAAGTTGTGGTTACATTTGATTATAAGAGCTGAATCACCAAAACATAAACATGTACTTCAATAGAAGAATCCATTATCTGATTAGCAGATTGAAGGATGTCTTTGCTTTTCCTGCATTAAGTCAGACAATGGAGTTGACTAAAAGCATTTCATAATTCCTCTTCCAGCCTAAGGTAGTATGCTTTCTCTCACTTGCCCTCTGTTTACAAGATGGGAATGGAGATTGAAGACGGCCTTAATGGGATTACATCACCAGTTTTACACTAAAAGGGCCAGAATTTAAGATGATTAGAGGAGAATTATGTTTGTTAGTAGAGTGGTATTTTTATGTGTGTGGCTACCTGTATTGTGGATTTCCCCCCAGATTATAAAGGGTGCTATATCTGATTAGAACACAGCCCAAAAATTGACCATGTGGATGTGAGGATGGTTATTTAGGATAGCAGTAGGCTGTGGGGACGGCAGGGCCTTCCCTTGGATTTATTACAGCCTTTTAGGCCGGTGGATGTATGAGATCAGTGGAGATTTCCACTTGGAACACATCCCTCTGTGAGGCACGGGCCTCAGAGCTGCACCCTTTTGAATTCATTTGGATCGACTAAGCTCTGTGCCTGTATAGCTGTGAACTGATACTGTAAGGATCATTCTAGTTTGGTATCTTATAGGATAATTAATAAAATGGAAATAAAATGTATTTTGAAAGGTACGATAGCATTGTTTTTTTCTTCATCAGCTTTAACATATATTCAGTGTTGTAGGACACTAATGAAAATCAAACTAAATAGTGCTTATCCTTGACCTCTATAATTCTATAAGCTGTAGTCATTCATGAAGTGAGAAATTAGAATTAATAGCACTCCGCATTCTGAGAAAAATATAGTCAGTACTTTTAGCTAATGAATAAACCCTAAATATCCTCAAACTCAATTCTTAGTTTTTTTATAATTTGGAATAACTTTGGTGTTAACATATTACACTGAAAAAAATATGAAGAAAAAAAAAAAGCTGGGTTTGGAAGGAGAAGCACTGTGTGTAAGTGTATTTCAATAAATTCTTGAAAAATCTATACTTATAATTATTTGGCTTGTCTTATTAGATTTTGGGCCATTTTCCTACAAATTAGCACTGTATTAGAGAATGTAAGGGTAGGATTTTGTACCTATGGTCATCCTTTTGTGTTCTGCTCATTAGTACATCTAATAAGAGGATTGGGATGAAGATATTAATAATTTAATAATTTCAATCATACGTGCCTTTGTATTTATCATGAATAATTAAGTTTTCTTATTTAAAGCTGACCATAGATCTGACATCATGTTGGAATTGTAAAGGCTTTTCAAGATGATCAAAAGCATTTGTTTACTTTGATAAAAATGCGTTTTATTTAAAGGCATTGCATAACAAGATTCGTTTAATGTTTATGTTTCTAAAAATGTTAATGGTTGAGAAACTCAG